ACAGAAGTGGTGGGACGAGTTGTGGTTTCTGTGCGAGTGGAGATGCTAGAAAGCTGGTTGCTGCTGGAGCCGCTCAGCGCAAGGGACATTCGCCGTTGATGTTCATGCGAGGCCGATTTGTAAGCGTCGAGACTTTTCAGACTGCGATGGCCACTTAACTGTGCCACAAAATTATCTGGGACGTCTGCATCGAGGAGACGTGAAATGCAGGTCTTTCTCACCGAGTGGTTGGTTACTCTGCCCTGTAAACCAGCATTTTTCGCAGCGGTGGGGAGAAATTTGCCGATTTCGTTTTTACCAAGCGGACTTCGCATATACCACACGTCGTCATCTGGTTTTCGCTGATGTTTGACTGCGAGGTAAAAGGGGGAATCTGGCTTGTTCATCTCCAAAGGACGACGGCGAGCAAATTCTTTGAAGAATTTAACCGGGCAACGCTCGTTGCCGGTTGCTTGCGCAGTAGGGTGGAAAGCACGAACACTGTATGGCTTGTCTTGGCCTTGACGTGTTTTGGACCCTCGCTCATATCTCCACACAAGAATCTCATTCTCCGTTTCTGGGTCTTTCTCCAAAGTGACGTCTCCCCACTTTAATCGGCGGCTTTCGTCTCGAGCTCTGAACCCAAAGTGAAGGGCAATTATCCACCACAAGGTACGCTGCAAGGCTGTCGGATTGGAGGTCCCAAATTCACCACACTCGAAAAGCTTGTCTTCCTCGGCCTCGGTCAGCTCACGGGCAGCTTGTGGTCTGTTCCCCTTGCCATGTTCCACAACAAGCTGACGGCGCTTGGCACTTAACACTTCTCTGGAGAGTTTGAAGTTGTCTCCGTCAATAATATTTACATTTGAACCTCTTTCGTTCAAGGCGCGTTGGAGACTACGTTGAAAGGACGTCAAACTGACAGGCTCGTACTCTGTGCCGTCCAATTTCTTTGCGGTTTTGAAAAATTTGCACAACAGCAAATTCAGTTCTTCCTGAGGTATGTCACACAGTTCCCTATTCTCGTTTTCTTGTAAACAAAACCGCTTCCATACCTTCATGTCACTTTGTGTTTTTAGTTTTGTGTTTGCCGGTTTTTGTTGCAAAATAAATTCATGAAACTCGTCAACATTTTTGTTTTCTTTGTTTTCTTTCTCGTTGACGCATTCAGTTTTCTCGTTTTCCAGCTCCATCGATACACAAACCACAGGAAATCTTTAACTGTCACGGAAAAGATTTTTCAGGGAAAAACTAAGAAAGAAAATTTTGGTAAACCGGCTTTCGCCTCGGATGAATTTTCCTTGCGGGACAAAGCCCTTATCCCGAGCGGGCAAGATAGCTCCATCTTGCCCGCTCGGGTAGCCAATCACAGCGCGAGATTCGGTTCATCTTGCCCGCTCACGGAGCTAGTCATATAA